ACACATAACTTTTATATCTGTGGAACGTTCTCGTCAATATTTTTTATACTTACAGTTGTCAAATTTTAATAAAAATGATTTTAAATGATGGTACACTTTTTGCCCTACAGGTACAATATATTTTTTAGCTGTGTGTGTCGCGTTTTAAATACTTAAAATCCCATAAAAGAAGTGCTGCAAAGGTTTAATCTTTTACACATAGCTTTCATATCTTTGGAACGTTCTCGTCAATATTTTTTATACCTACAGTTGTCAAATTCTAATAAAAATGATTTTAAATGATAGTACACTCTTTGCCCTACACGTACAGTATATTTCTTAGCTGTGTGTTTCGCGTTTTAAATACTTAAAATCTCATAAAAGGAATTGCTGCAAAGGATTAATCTTTCACACATAGCTTTCATATCTTTGGAACGTTCTCGTCAATATTTTTAATACTTACAGTTGTCAAATTTTAATAAAAATGATTTTAAATGATAGTACACTCTTTGCCCTACAGGTACAATGTATTTTTTAGCTGTGTGTTTCGCGTTTTAAATACCTAAAATCCCATAAAATTAAATGCTGTAAAGTACATATATTTTACATATAACTTTTATATCTGTGGAACGTTCTCGTCAATATTTTTTATGCTTAAAGTGGTCCAATTTCAATCTGTTTTTTGATTGCGTTCTGTTGGTTCTTTGTTGAAACGAAATTCTCTCGTTTTATTTTATATAAAATGAACCTATTATTTTGTTGGCATTGTCTTATAATAACATAATAATCCTGTGGTGTATACAGGAAATTCTTTCTTATATTATTTTTTTCTTTTTTTTCTATGGAAATTGGACTTAGACCACTTTCATAATCAATGGTTACGCAATTTCTTTTACCGGCTCATTTTAAATTGGATAAAGCATCGATATTTTTAGGCAATTAAATACTAGTAAGTTATAAATAGACAGTTTACACTAAATTAAATATAAATTACGTGATATCTCATTTATTTTTTAAATGGACTTACACCGCTTTGAAAATAAACGGTCCAATTATTCAAAGTGTAATAATTATTTTCAACTAATTAATGTTAAATAAAAATTAATTAATTTTAAAAGTTGTGGAGCCGACGAACAAAAAGTCAGCAGTTGATTGAAAACAACAGATAACTTCATTGTTTTGCTTAGAAATGAGAAAAAACGTTTCTGCTTTTTCAATTATTATTAACTAATTAAATAAATAATTATCAGAAAGTGAGCAATTATGGATTTTGATTGAGCAAATAGTGAACAATTAAGAGCACTTATTCATTTTTTTCTACTGTTTCAAACTTCGTTGCTACGCTTAGAAATAGGGAAAAAAAATTTTGTATTTTCAATAATAAATAACTAATTAAATAATTAATTAATAAAGGCAGCAATTATGGATTTTGATTGAGATTTTAATGAGAAATGAAAAGCACTTATTCGTTTTTTTCTGCTGTTAAGGTTCCTTACCAGCATTCCTACGGTCGTACATGCGTGCAATTTTGTGCAATTTATACATAGACGTCGAAAAAATAAAATACTATTTTACCGACAGGTGACACTCTCGAGCTAACGCGTGCGTATCAGTTGTTATGCATGAAACAGAGATTGATTAAAGATTTGTTGATTTATTATTGCAAAGAAACTGAATAAGAAAATTTATAATAATGAATAAACTTCTGTCAGTAAGAAAATTGTCATATACAGCGAAGCAATTGTTAATTAACGAGGTAAATAATCAAAAATGTTTTCTTGCACCTATCTTAAGAAATCTTCACATAACCTCTTTCAATACCAAAGAGATAAGAGATAAAAACACAAAAGTTAGAATTGTTTCAAATAAATATAATTTGATTGAAGGAGAAACAGATGGAATAGTCCATAATTTGACTCAGTGAGTATATCTAATGTTGAAAATATTTTTATAAAGTATACTACTCCTACGGTAATTAATTATGTACATTGTTTTATACATAGTGGTTAATGTAATTGTTCTACTAATAGGACAGGACTCTTTCCTGATGAAAACACACCGAATTGGATTTTTAAAGGTATACCATATAAGGAATTACCAATTGTTAATATAAATGCAACTCCTAACAATACTCATATGAATTTAACGGATCATAAAGGTTATTTAATAAACTTTTATTTCAAAGTAATATATTCGTATAATTAGATTTCTGTACTATATAGTATTTTTTACTATAAATTTCTATTAAATTTCTATTAAATTTCTATTAAATTTCTATTAAATTTCTATTAAATTTCTATAAATATATATAGGGAAGATGTTAGCACTTCATACTGCGGGTATAGAGGGTTTCAAAAATACTAGAAAAGGTACCAATGTTGCTGCGCAACAAGCAGCTGTTACCTTCAGTGAGGTACGTAAGAATTTTGCAGTCTTACTTTTAATGTACCTTATGTAAACTACAACTTCTAACTAGCATGCGTATCTATGAAATATTTGTTTTTTAGGCTATTCGCAATAGATCTATACCATTAGTCAGAGTGCGTATTCAAGGATTAGGTGCTGGTAGAATGGTAAATATATAATGATAAGATATATTTTTATTTTGATATTTTGATAATAAATTACTATGAATTACTTAACAAAGTCATAATGGAATAGAATGTAGAAAGTTAAATAATACAATAGATGCCCATTTACATAAATTCTCATATATTTTAGGCTGCTTTGAAAGGTCTTCAGATAGGAGGAATAGAAATTGTATCGATTACAGATAGTACTAGGGTTTCGTGGAATCCACGAAGACCAAGAAAGCCAAGGAGAATATAATTACATTCTATAGATACAACGATGTCTTCTCTTCAAAAGAGAGACATCTTACTATTATCATTTAGCTACTATGTACACATTTATTCAAAATAAGAATTGTATATTTATACCTGTGTGTGGATTGGAATTTCGAAATGCAACATGATTTTAAAGTTACGAACTTTTCACAGTAAGATCTCTTCATTTTTGTGAAGGTTGTTGATAGAAAGTAATTACTACTTTATTACGTTTTTATGAAATAATTTGAATGTTTAACAGTTCAATGTAAACGAATTAAGTTTTTCAATTAAGTTGACAAAATAATGAATGAACGTTTACGTGTATAGGAAAAGAAAATAATTAATTTTTATTTTATTGTTTATCTTGAAAATAATTACGTAAAGAAACGTTTGATTGATTTAATATAACGTAATGCGAGGTCCTTATTTTTCATAGGAGTGTAAAAAAAAATTATTTTTTATTTGGAATTTACAAATAATCAATTATTTGACTCTCAAGAGTCCTACTATTATCTAGAAACACGTACAATCCCGTGGGAAAGTTTGACCTAGATAGCTTAAAATGCCCTTGGGATATTGTAGCCTGTATTCTGCAATTAAGCGTTTCTGTCCCTTAACTATAAAGTTTCAACGAAAGTTATACGCAGCAGTTAATGTTCATCTACTACACGCGTTTATTACCCTGGTTTATTGACGATATTGTCTACGTCCTATCAACAGAATTGGTAAGTAGGTAAACTTGAATGGCATGGGTGAACTTTTCTTTTATGGCTTATTAACTCCTTTATTAACGGTTTATAAATATTTGGCATTGTTTTCTAGTATATAATGTATATTATATTATATCAGTATGTATCTCTTTGTATCTTATCAAACTATTGACTAGACCTCCATGAGGTTATTCTTAAAAAATACTCTAAACATTTTTAGCATTAAAATTAGCGTTTGTTATATGACATATGAATATGAATAAATTTGATGAATTTATAACGTTCCGTATCGAACTAATTTTCGATGACTTTTTGTTTAATAAACCGCATGATTTGTAAACACAGAACAAATGAATAGCCAAAATTTCAACTGGACTTAACGGATAGTTTAGAGTGAGGCAAAAATTGTTTATGATAATCAATGAATTTTAGCGAATGAGATTATCATCCATTCGTATCTTATGATTCGTTACGAAGAACATACATATATGTACATATGTTATTATTATCTATTTGACTAAATGATCTGAGCGATGATGTGCAAAGAATCGACGAGTAGATTCGTCAATGATCTAATCAATTTCAATCTATGAATGATGAAATCAAAGTTAAGATCAAGAATGATATCGATGATTTTTTGAACGTACAAAGTTATCTTTTTAACGTTATTTGTTGCGTGATCCAAGATATATATTCGGAGATTCTCGTATAAACACCAGGTAGACGTGGTCGGGCACAACCCACTCCAGAGGAAACTATACCGATGACCATTGTTCTTCCATCAGGATTACTTCCGATCATAAGAGGACCACCGCTGTCAGCCTGAAAAAAAATATGTTTTATATAATTTTAATGTTTTGTAAAATATCTACTAATTAATTATCATTAAGCTGGTTTAACACGATAATACGCGTATGATAATATCATTAATATACACGTATATCAATGAAAATGTTTATATGACGATATCCGTGAGATATTGTATTACAGTATTAATTTCGTCTATTCTGGGAACATTGGTTCGAGCCTATTTGTATGAAGTCAGCAAACGAAACGTTGAATCAAATTATTTCGCGTATTTTTGTGCGAAAGCAACCTTTAATATCTACATATTTCTAGATAGTTAGATCTTTTTATTTCGTCTAAATCCTGCGCGATATATTTTATTTCTTACTTTCTTCTTTTTTCTTTTAGTTTCCTTTTTTATCACATAGAAAACAAAGCTTTTATACGAGCTACAAAAATATAATACTATACGGATATCTGACTTTTGCTATCCTTTGATGTCGAATCAAAGCTCCGCGATTCAATTCGCGTACTTCGTCCTTTTCTTTCATTAAAAAGAGATGGTTGGATCAAAGGAAAAATATAATATTGAGTAAAAATGCTCTGGCGTATATTATTTTTACTTTTGCTATTTTACAATTAGATTATTTTTCTAACTTACTTTTATTTATTTTTACGATACGAATAAATACGCATTTAGGGTATCGTTTTTTTTTTCATGGAAGAAGGTATAGTTGAACGAAAGTAAAAAAAAAGAAGAAAAAGAGGAAGATGGAAAGGAATAAGGACGAAGTACAATATATACGATCGACTTTTATTTCATGTTGATCCAGTGTTTTCTTATTTCGCGCTCGAACGAATATACGTATCTTTATGGTAATATCTTCTTCAAGATCTTTTTTATTTTTTCCTTCAAGAGAGAACTGGACAATGAATAAACTCGTCTTATCTATCGTTTGGTCTTGATCGATCTCGAACAAATACAAAACATGCGTCACGAGTCAAGAATTTCAATAACCCTCGGAAAAGAAAAAGAAATCGTTTGGTATTCGAATTGAAAAAGTTCGTATAGTATGGTACTAGATCGAGTCAATTTATCGCAAATGGGTCACGTTCTCATTTCGGATAAAAATATCGCATCCCTACCGCGTTCCCTACCGCGTACCCTACCGCGTACCCTACCGCGTACCCTACCGCGTACCCTACCGTGTACTATAAACGCATGCATAACGAGAGCGTGGGAAAGCAAAACGAATCGGGCAATACGTGAAATGACGCGTTTCACGAGAGGAGAAAATATCAAATAAAATAAAACAAAAGGGAAGAGAAAAAATAAAAAGGAAGGAAATATTTGTCTATAATATTCGTGTATTTTCCGATCGCAAAAGATTTTCCAGCCTTGACAATTGCCATGTAAAATGGACGAAAGTTCAAATATTTAGTTTCCACGTAAAATATCGGTGATCACTGAATTTGCGTCACACGTCATTTCCATCGAAATAATTTGGCGTTGTTGCGAGACCGCAAAAGCCATCGGCGTTAATTGCTAAGCGGTTCCCCGCTCCCGTATCTTCGATCGCGGATCGAACGCTTTTTGATTAAGTGTTTAAATGATACGTACGATTATATGTAAATACATATTACATTTATATGTCATCTAATGTAATTTATCACATATAGGCATATTAGTGAAAAATTAATAAAAGGGAGGAGGAAATTAGGAAAAGCGATCCTTTTAGTATCCTATTTTCAGAAGGAATTTTGATACAGCGTATCGTCTCCGGTGTGAACCTAATTACAACCTATTATTCTTTTCTCTCTTCAAATAAAGAGATAAAAAGAGTTAAAGAGGAAAAGGGAGAGAGACAAATAGAGAAAGGAAGAATATTCCAAATGTTTACCGTGTAATACAAACGATCGCGTTAACTCGTAAGCGCGAAAGTTTCACGTAAATTAACTCGTATTCATATTACGAACGGATTATTCCTACCGCGAATTACGTACGCTTGATGACTCACTCGACGACGTTAAATTGCGCCAAATAAATTCTTGCCATTGATAACGCTATCGTTCTTTTCTTTCTTTTTCTTTTTCTTTTTCTTTTTCTTTTTCTTTTTCTTTTTCTTTTTCTTTTTATTCTGCTTTTCTTCTACTTCTTCTCGTTCTTCTTATATTTCTTTTCTCTACTTTATGTCTACATTCATTTTGTTGTTCAATGATTTCATTTCTGTGCTATGTAATGTGGGAACAAATTGTCGAAAAAAAATGAAAAAAATGTGGAAAATATACGTGGTGTAAACGAATGCCTAGACAAGAAGATTTTGATTTTCAATAATCCGTATGAAATAGGACAAAAATAATGATAAATTCGTGCCAGAGTGCATTGTTCTGCCAATACATTTGTCAACGTGCTACCAGTACTACTATACGCTCGTCGTCGGAGGGGTGCGTCCTCCCAGGGGGGGGGGGATTCTCTGGTCTGCGGCTAAGCAATTATCGGGGATGCAGCTCTTAATATTCGTTCGTGCGTATTGTTCCTGGATTTTCTGCTAATCGCGCACGTACGACAATCTCTTCTATTATATCTATCATATTTTGTCGAATTACTTTCTTTCGACGATATATTAGAAAGTTTAACAATTATTTTCAAACTTTTTGAGAAGCTACGCAAATGTATGGAAATTTACGCAAATTTACGCAAATGTTACGCTACTTAAATGTACGCAATTATTTTCAACTTATTGTTAATATCGAATTACTAGTAATGAATTAATTGTTTTTCTTTTTAAATCATTTTTTGTTCTA